CATAAACCCAGCAGAGGTGGCAGCCATCTGCGGATTGCTTGGTGACTCTTACCAGGTGGCCCTGGAAGTGCACAGGCTGTGGCTGAACTGTGCCTGCAGCTGGGCCCCTCCCAGGAGGCCCGTGGGTTGGCATATCCAGGGGCCTGCTTCGACTAGAGACAGAGCTGGAGCAACACCTAGGGCTGCATCTGAGGACACACCCAAAGGGCAGATTGGGCAGGGACAAGTGCCTGGCTACAGTGAATCCTGCTCCATAGAGTCAGCCTCTCACCGGCCAATCCTCACAACCAATCAGCCCAAGGGTCAATCCCTCCCATCGACATGCAAACAGCAAACAAGGTTCAACTGCAACAGGAGGGCACACGCAACCCACACAAGGGACACACCTGGAGCACCTGGCTCAGGTGACCAGGGAAGACTGTGCTGCTGGGCCCCACAGGACACCTACCACATAAAGCTACTCTACTAAGACCAGGAGACATAGCAACCTACCTAATACATAGAAACGAACACAGGGAGGCAGCCAACATGGGGAGACAAAGAAACATGTCCCACACGAAAGAACAGAACAAAGCTTCAGAAAAAGAACTAAATAAAATGGGGACAAGCAACCTACCAGATGCAGAGTTCAAAACACTGGTTATAAGGATGCTCGATTAACTTAGGAGGAAAGATAAACTCAGTGAGAACTTTGACAAAGAGATAGAAAACCTAAAAATGGTGATGGAAAACATAAAAGGGAACCTGAACCTGTTAGAAATGAAGACTAAATATCTGAGATGAAGAGTACATTAGAGGGAATCAACAGATTGGATAAAGCAGAGGACTGAATCGGTGATTTAGAAGATGAGGCAGCAGAAAACACTCAATCAGAACTGCAACACGAAAAAAGAATCCAAAAAAATGAGGATAGTTTAAGGTGCCTTTGGGACAACATCAAGCATGACAGCATTCGCATCCCAGGGGTACCAGAAGGAGAAGAGAGAGAGCAAGGAATTGAAAACCTATTTGAAAAAATAATGACGGAAAACCTATTTGAAAAAATAATGACGGAAAACTGGTAAAATAAATAGACATATAAGCCCAGGAAGCACAGGGTCTCAAACAAGATGAACTCAAAGAGACCCACACCAAGACACATCCTAATTAAAAAGCCAAAGGTTAAAGACAAAGAGAGAATTGTAAAAGCAGCCAAAGAAAAGCAGTCAGTTACCTACAAGGGAGCTCTCATAAGACTATCAGCTGATTTCTCAACAGAAGCTGAAGGCCAGAAGGATTGGTACCAAATACTTAGAGTGATGAAAAGCAAGGACCTACAACCAAGATTACTCAACCCAGCAAAGCTATCATTTAGAATCAAAGGACAGATAAAGAGCTTCCGAGACAAGAAAAAGCTGAAGGAGTTCATCGCCATCAAGCCGGTATTACAGGAACTGTTGGAGAACAAGAAAAAGCTAAAGGAGTTCATTGCCACCAAGCCGGTATTACAGGAACTGTTGGAGAGATTTAAGAAGGAAAAAATATGTATCAAAAATATGAATAATAAAATGGCAATAAGTACATCTACCAACAGGTACTTCAAATGAAAAAGACATAAGGCAGCTGAATGGATAAGAAAACAAGACCCTTATATAGGTTGCCTACAAAAGACTAACTTCAGATCAAAGACATACAAAGATGGAAAGGATTGTATAAAGATACTTCATGAAAATGGAAATGAAAAAAAAAATCTGAGGTAGCAACACTTATACGAGACAAAAAAGACTTTAAAAGAAAGGCTGTAACAGGAGACAAAGAAGGATCCGGTAATCCTACTTCTGGGTATTTATCTGAAAAAACCTAAAATATGACTTTGAAGGGACAGGTCATCCCTATGTTCATTGCAGCATTATTTACAAGAGCCAAGATATGGAGGCCACCTGGGTGTCCATCAACGGACGAACGGATAAAGAAGAGGTGGTATGTATGTACAATGAGACAATGGAATATTACTCAGCCATAAACATAAGTCAATCAGTAAAAGAAATCTTTACGTCTGCAACAACATGGGTGGACCTAGAGGGTGTTTTGTTGAGTGGAGTGAGTCAGAGAAAGACAAATGCCACATGATTTCACTTACAATGTGGAATCTAAAGGACAAAATAAATGAATAAAACAACAAACTCATAGTGAACATTTGGAGGGTTACCAGATGGGAGAGGTGAGTAAAAAAGAGGGAAGGGATTAAGAAATACAAATTGGTCATTACAAAATAGTCATGGAGATGTAAAGTATAGCGTAAGGAATATAGTCAATATTGTAATAAGTATATATGGTGTTGGATGGGTACTAGACTTATCGGGGTGACCATTTTTTATGTTATATGGATGTCTAATCACTATGTTGTATACCTGAAACTAATATAATATTGTAGCCAACTGCAATTAAAATTAAAAATATTAAAAGAGAATATGTCTGATTTGTGGGATTACAAGAGATTCCTCCCTTTGCTTACTATTACCTTTGATTTTTCTATGATCAAGACATTAGTTGTAGAATGAAAATATTATTACTTAGAAAAACAGATTTTATAACACTTGTTTAAAAAAAATCAAGCATACTGCTAATGGATGTTGAGGAAAATTGTAGCCCACGGCACAGGTCACATGGGTTCTGCCACTGCAGGAATGAACATGGCCACCACCGCGTACCTCAGCGCCAAGTACCGAAAACCCTCAGACGAGACTCATGGGATCTTGGTTCCAGTCCTAGTGATGCTGGTCTGTGTGTTCTTCAGTGAGTGTCTAATCACTCTGAGCTTCAGTTCTCCCAACTATAAAATGGGGTGTCTGATAGGCCTTTGCAGGGTTGTTAGAAACTGAGTGAAGTTTTCGAAGTTTTGTGCAACATCAATTTCCACGGCTGTCAATCCGTCAATTATGCGCTAGACCTTCCGGCCCTAGAAATGGAGTCGGGGACTGTCCTGGGCGCTGTAGGACCGTTAGCACTCCCGACCTC